TTCTGAGACCAGCTAGTGGGAGGACAAGAGTTAGCCCCAAACACTTAAGAATTCTAAGGTGTGAAAAGTATTGTGATTTTTTTTTCATTGTTCAGTATCCATGCTTTTAAGAATCTTAGCTTCATTTTTATTTTAAAATATTGTCCTTTCCCTTTGGAAAATCTCAGTACTAGACTAGTAATAAAAGTTATACCTCTGCAAGTAATGGTATATTTTGGGCTACTGACAAAACTTTGAGGAACTGAAGAAATTGGTGCCAAAAAATGCCAGAGAAAAAGGCATCAATATTATTGACGAGAAAGTTCATATTTTCTCCCCACTGCAGTATTGCATAATCAGAAAAAAAGCAAAATATATCTGTCCCTTCTGGAATGACTGACAAGTCCCAGTTGCAAGGAAAATATGATAAAACAGTTTCCATAAAATTCAATTTTATTTCTTAATAAACTGATTTTTCGTCATAATGCATGCAAAACCAGACATTTTTTTGCAAGCCTTGCCTGGTAAACTTGGGGTTAACAGGTCTGATACCCCATTACTATCTCCCTGTTTGTGTTGCTGCTAAATGCAGTTGCTTGCTGATTGAATGCCAAGATTTGCACTTAAAAAGAAGGCTTGCTAAGTTTTGTACCGAGAAAAACAGTCTTGTACTGATAAAATACTATACTTTCAACTTGGGAAAAAAAGCACCTAGAAAATACTTGCTACTCCACAACACTCTGAAATGTACTTTATAACAAAACTATCAAAAGTACAGAATTCTTCCAGCTGGCAAAAATCTCAGTAAACACATCTCTTTGACAAAGTTCTCCTTTCAGACTCGACATGCATGGGGGAGGGAATCCACAGAAAGGAAATTTGTGATTCTGTGGTGGAAGAAAAGCCATGAAAGGGGAAGGGTGATCTAAGGTGATGGCTTGCAACAAATGTCTCCTTAGTGTCACCTTTTTAGTAGAATTACAGTCAGATGTTAATGGTTATCTTGGGCACAAAAAAGAAGGACATAAATAAATATGGGAAAGACTCCCCATTTTGGAGATTATTATGGAAACAATTGTCTGTGAATTCTAGTGCACTATAACCTTTACGTCCTAGTAGTACACGCAAGCTAATTCTCAAAATATCTCTTCCAACCCAACCCACTTTATGATGCTATGCAAATAATATGTGTCAACAAGTGCTAAACACATGCCTTCACTGTACTTTCTGCTGCCTGACTGTGGCCAGGACTCAGTCCCAAAAGCCATGAAAGCAGAGTTTGCTGGTCCATTCCATGGGTCCCTCAATCTGCCTTGGGAAGCACAGAAATTATTGATTCTGTTAGTACTTCATCATGAAAAATCGCCGCTATTCCCATCTGAATAGTTGTTACTGTATTCCACAAAATGGAATACAAAAATAGAATTCCACGAAAAAACCCTGTCCAGCTCCTCAGGGTATGGATAAGTGGTATTTTTAGGAGTCTGCTTAGGTCCTCTGCTTCCTTGCAAGACTCTCATTCAATTTTTTAAAGAGTCCTGCTATTAGAACCTTTTTCCACAATCCCATTAACAGTAGTTTCAGAGCAAAGCATGCCAGTGATGCCAATACACCTAAAGGATCTGTGAGACTGCATAATGAATGGCTGGTTCTCTGAATCCAAAGGATGCAGGACTATAAAGGACTATAGAGCCTGGATGTAGGTTAATGTTTTTGTAAAAGGCAAAAACTAAAAACCATGATCCCACATCAGAAGGGGGACATGCCTTCACAGGACAGCAAAACCAGGAGAGGAAATCAACCCAGAAGAGACAAAAATTGGCAAACTCATTTGTTTAACATGGTCAGATGTTAATATTGGTACTTGGGGTAGCACAAACCACAAGTGATTATCCTCACATTGGCTCTACATTTCAAAAATCTGGACAGACTAGAATTTCAGGCAGAGGACAGAAGATATAATATCTGGTCATTTCCTATGCAGTAAGAATTGTCATGTGATGATGCAGGGGTTTGTTATTAGTTAGCAGAGGAGCTTAGTGTAAAATAATCCCTGTCAGAGACTTGAGTCAAAAGGCTTATAACTGGAGGGTGACTGTATGACAAGGCACAATGTTAAAATCCTTTTTCTGATTTTTCATCATCCTTTTTAATCCCTAGAAAATTATCAGCTCCTGAAAATAAACGTGTCCCAATCTATTGTTCAAACTCAGCTGACACTCTCTGTTCAGTGATAAGTTATACCTGTGCTGTGTATTGCTTTCAAAAGCACAGAAACAAAGAACAGCTTTACATGAATATCAGCTCAGTCTCTTGCTTTTTCCTTGAATTTCATCTCCTAGAGCTGTTCAACCTAAATCCCTTCTTCCTTAGAGGTCCCATTCTCCCTTTCCCTGTAGTAAGGCAGGGAAGCAGGCTCTCATAGGACATATCCTTCCTTCTAGACATAATTTCAAGAAACAATCAACACAGGCTTAAAAAAGCCAATGTAATGTTGCTGTAAAGCCTCATTTTTCTTTCAGAGGGATTTAAACTGATGAGGATAAGTGGAAAAGCCATGGACACACACCGCTCCCCTCCTTTACTCCCCTCAAAATCATTTTGCTGAAATCAGAGAGGGCCTGCTAAACTATGTCCTTCAGAAAAAGGGCCTTGACAAAAGCACCAGACTCAGCCTTCCATATATTTTATATAATTGTAGGAGGTGTTTGTGCCCAGGCACTGGCAGCAGGGACTCTGAACAGCGTCTCCAAAGAGCAGCCAGGGCCACCCTGTGCCAATTCCAGCATATCCCAACACACCCACTGCAGGGCATGGCTAAGCCCTGCAGCCAAGGTGCTGGCACCTCTGGGAAAGTGCATTCAAGAAAGGCACAAGCAGTGGAAAATGAGGGGGAAAACGTGAGAAACAACCTTGTGAGCACCAAGGTCAGAGAAGAAGGATAGCTGGATGTACTTCAAGCACTAGAGCAAAGATTCCCCTGCAGCCCATGGTGGCCTGGGGAGGACCCCACAGGAGGATGTGTCCTGAAGCATCCCATGGACAGCCCACTCAGTAGCGAAGTTTTTTTTTCCCTGAAGGAATTGCATCCCATAGGAAAGACTCATGTTGGAGGAAGGGAAATGTACAAGGAGAAAGAAGGAGCTAAGAGGAATAGTTGTGGACTGATCACAAACCCGCATTCCTATCCCCCTGCACTGCTCAGGAGTGGGTAGGAGGTATAAGAGTTGGGAATGAAGGAGAAAGCTGAGCCTGGGAAGAAGAGGGGAAAAATTTATTTTAATATTTGTCTTTGTCTCTCATAATATAAATAATTTTTAAATGGCAATAAATTACATTATTTCACCCCAAGATGAGCCTGTTTAGCCTATAAAGTAACTTATAAGTGACATTCCCATCCTTACTTCAACCCATGAGATTTTCATCTTATTTTCTTCCCATGTTTTGTTGAGGAGAGATAGTGAGAGAGTGGCTGGGTGGGTCTGACAGCCAGACAAGGTTAACCCACCACTATAAATAAAACCAGAATTAAAACCATCCATATTTCCCAAACCAGGAGATATTGTGACAATTTCCTTTTCTTCAAGATACAGTGTTGGAGTAAAGCTAAGCTAAGTGATGTTCCCTCCTTCTTCCTTTCCTCAACAATGAATGTGAAAACATTTCTGGTTTTTTTGCTACACTCACTACACATCAGTTTTTGCACTCACAAAGGCTGCAAAGTTATGTGCTATTAATGGACCCCTGAATCACATTCAATCATGTCTTCATTCTGAATTTAATGATTTATTTATATATATATATATATATATATATTTATGCACCTGTATATTATATATTTTTCTGTTTATAGGGGTGGGGTTTTAATAAAATTTTTTTGTGGCACTATCTAGGCAAGAAAACAAAACACAACAAATTGAAAGATGTGCAGAAAACGAAAGTCAGACAACTTTTACAGTAATTGTAACACATTGTAGAATCTACAGTGTGCCAGAATGTTCAAAGTACTTTTTCCTGTAACTGACTTCCCCTCCTTTTCCCTTGTGTGCCATGGTGCTGCATGCTTAACTTTTCTTAGTTTTAGAACATTTGTGAGTTCTAGGGCTACATTCAGGATCAAAGGTTAGCAATTAACAACCCCTAACTAGGGTTGTTAGGTTTTGCAAGAACCATATGGTAGAGTAGTTCTGGAAAGAGATTGATCACTTCTCTCAGGAGGAAACAACTAGAGCAAGGACAAAGGAGGCTCTATGAACCTCTCAGCCCTATCCACCCATGGAAAAAAAAAGGATGCCTCATAACGATGCAGCATATCTCTACTTTTTCTCATTCTTAACACATAAAAACATAATGAAATATACAAGAACATATTTTACATTAATTTCTCTTTATTTTTTTTATGTGGGAAATATGTGAGATATGTGGCTGCATAGGGAAACTCTCTATTGGTGCTTCCTCCCCTAGGTATTTTAGGAGTCCCCTGGAGAAGGCATGAATGCTCATCCCTATGTAGCCACCAGACACGAAATAGTTTTCTAATAAGAGTCTTATTGATTACACAATTAAAGTTCTAGTCCCTTCCTTTTTCAATCTTCTAATCCTATGTCCTCCACATTCACACAAATACAAATGTAACAAATCTGCAGCATGTTATCCTTTATGTTATCCAGACACAGGCATAGAATTAAAGGGTAATTTTTTCTGTCTTCTGTGTTCCAAATGCTTGGCCTAGGTTCTGAGCAAAAAAACTTCTCAATATGTACTAATTCACCAAGTATGAGACATATTAAAATCTTGCTTTTAATTTGGCAGTGAGCTTTTAATGTGAAGAAGAGAAATATTGTCACTTTGTCACAGTGCAAGAGACCATGCCCTCTCCATTCAAAAGATATTTCTGAGGTTGCAGCTCAGTGTTATTGAAGTTTTATCTATTTGATATCTAAATTATTTTAAAAAGATAAATATATGTAATTTAATACCTAATATTATTTTCTCTCTTTCTCTTCCTCTTTTTTTCTCAGAGCAAATTATGACATCGACATCTAAAGGAATTTTCCGGCCATTTTTTATTATCTTCATTATCCTTGGTTGTTTCATGGCATTTATATTAATTTATATCAAACCAACAAATAGCTGGATTTCTGGTCCTATAGAATCAGCCAGTTCAGTGTTGAAAATGAAGAACTTCTTTTCTTCCAAAACTGATAATCTCAATGAAACTACTGTTTTGATCTGGGTTTGGCCATTTGGTCAGACGTTCGATCTGACGTCCTGCCAAACGATGTTCAACATCCCCGGGTGCCATCTGACCATTGACCGCTCGCTCTATAACCGATCCCACGCTGTCCTCATTCATCACAGAGACATCAGCTGGGATCTGGCCAATTTACCTCAGCAAGCCAGGCCACCGTTCCAGAAGTGGATTTGGATGAACTTGGAGTCTCCAACTCATACTCCACAAAAGAGTGGCATCGAACACCTTTTTAACCTGACCCTGACTTACCGGCGTGATTCAGATATCCAGGTGCCTTATGGCTTCATGATGGTTGGCACCAGTTCCTTCACATTTGAAGTACCAAGTAAGGAAAACTTGGTCTGTTGGGTTGTGAGTAACTGGAACCCTGAGCACGCTCGAGTCAAGTATTACAATGAGCTCAGCAAATACATTGAAATCCACACCTACGGACAAGCCTTCGGAGACTACGTCAATGACAAAAACCTCATTCCAACTATCTCCACGTGCAAATTCTACCTTTCCTTTGAAAATTCAATCCACAAAGATTACATTACTGAGAAACTCTACAATGCTCTTCTGGCTGGATCAGTACCAGTCGTACTGGGCCCTTCCAGAGAAAATTATGAGAATTACATTCCAGCAGACTCTTTCATACATGTGGAAGATTTTCTCTCCCCCAGAGAGCTGGCAGAATATCTTCTGATGCTTGACAAAAATAATAAGATGTATCTTAGTTATTTCAACTGGAAGAAGGATTTTTCAGTGCATCTTCCTAGGTTCTGGGAATCACATGCATGTCTAGCTTGTGATCACGTGAAAAGACACCAGGAATACAAGTCCATTGGAAATTTAGAAAAATGGTTTTGGAATTAATTTGTGGGGGGTGTGTGTGGGTGTGTGTGGGTGCGTGTGTGCATTTTTTTGAAGAAGCCAGAAAGGACTTCAGTCCAAGTGGAGAGGAGAGGAAAAGCGAAAAAAAGGAAGGAAAAGAGAATCTCACATCATGGTTTATCAGTTATTCTCTTTTGGCTATCCTATTTATATTTTGTAAGAGATTTTAAAAGATCAGCAGCAGCAGTCATCAGTACTCAGTTTCAAATTATAATAGATATACTAATTATGTGCACTGAAGAGTATTTGATTGCTTATTATAAATTTAAAACAAGATTTTCCACATTTTCTGTGAAACATGTCTCAGTCTTTCACTTGAAGTACTCATTTTTATATTTTCTTTTTTTTTTTTTACCATTATCTTTGTTGTTTAACCTATTTGGAAAATGAGGAAACAATTTTTAAATGTCAGAGAAAATTTTAAGAACATAATTTGTTGTTCCAGATAGAAATATGTGTAACACTTCAAAAGACAGCTAAGTTTCATATGTTCATCTTGCATTTAAGAGCACAGTAGAGTACAATACCTATCATTATGGAAGTGTGATTAATTGCCCCCTTTTTAAGGGTAATGAACCTAGAACTATAGCTTTTTAAACGTATTAGAATAGTGGATAGTCTTTGTTTCTAAAAAGGTTTCCTAACAAATGGTCCCTTTAGGTTGCCTTAGGAATATGTCTCTTCTTACCCTCTGAAGAAAAGAGAAGTCATATTTAGAGAAAATGACTAATCCTGCTGACCAGAACCCAGATTAATCAAATTTTTGAGTGTATTCAAACACAGCACACCCTTGGCCTTCAATATGTCTCAAGTATTTTTAATCTGAACCAGGGCTTTAAGTAGTGTTACACTGAAATAAACAGATTTTAAAAAAGGTGTTTTATTACATCAGACTTATGCACTGAATTCAGCTGGTAATAATGGATTTTTAGAAGCACTTTGCTGAGAAATTTTAGAAAGCTCTCTCATATAATTTCTTGAATAATAGTGAATTTTCCCCCAATTCTATAAACATCTGTTGAATTTTAACTGTAGCTGGACAACTTGATGTTATGACACATAAGTGCGGGAAAAATTACTAAGCAGTCAATTTTCTGAGAGAAATTTGCTGAAATTTAGTAAATAAGCTATGAGGCTATATAAACTTCCAACTTACCAAGCTAATAAATTTGGGGGGTTGAAAATATTGTGTATGAAAGGTATTACAAATGAACTCTTCAGAGCAACAACTGCTATCAATATTTGATAATATAAGTAGGTTTTTAAGTATCAAATTTGCTCTAATAGCAAAACCAAAATTTTGATGGTTGTCATAATTTTAAGATGTCTGCTTCAAACATGTATCATTTGATTTTACTACTTCTTTCTCTCAGCTAAGACGAATTTCTGATTGCCATATATATTCATATATACAAGGTTGGTTTAATGGCATAAATGTAGGGGTATGCTTTAATATCAAATGACAGCAAATCAGCTTGGATTTTCAGGTCAAAGTGCTGCAAATCACACCTGCTACTGGAAAAAAAAAAAAGAAAAAAGGTAAACTGGAAAGACTTCTGCTTGTGAGATGAATAAGACCCTGGTCAAGCTAAGTAGTTAATCAAGTAACTGAGATTAAATTTGCAGACAAAAAAGTTGCTGCAGTAAGGAAATGAGAGATAAATTATAAATATTTAGCAAAAGACAGTGGGACTTATTACAGGCTGGAATAGAAACACAAAAGGCTATAAGAGTAATTAGTTAAATTTATAGAACTCAAAACCCCATGGAAAAGTTGTAGAATTACTTCTGCTCTGCCTGTGGTTTCAAAAGCTGTATTCTGATCCAGCTAGCTTTCAATATACTGTGAATCACCTAAACTCACCAGCATTCTAGTATGCAGCAAGATAAGCTTACCTTGAACATTAATGCAATACAAGGAAACTGAGTCTTCTAAAAACAAACTTCTGATGTGCATGTAATATAAGTAGTATCTTATCATTTTGAAGGCAAGTTTCTTTAGCTTTTAGTCTGTCCTACAGGACATCATAACATTTTTTTTTCAGGAGGACTGTGAAATTCTCAGTGACTGAACATACCACTGGTTTGGCTGAATAACCTGATTCCCTCAGTGCTGGAATTTGGAAGTCCTTTGCATTAACCTCAATGAGAGGTGAATGTGTACAACCATTCCTCACTTCAGATTGTGAGCGCTGTTCAATGTGTTAGAAGGCCTTGGGTGGATTCAGACTGGTTCCTTGGCAGCAAATTCAGCTAAGTCCTTATAGTAATAACAAGAAAGAATATATAAGATATATGAAGTGTGAAATATTGGTCAGTGTATACACAGGAAAGTTTTGCAATATACTCTGAATTTTAATCCTGTAAGTAATGTCTTTACCTCTGTAAGCACAAGATCTAGCCAGCATGGCTAATCTTAGGCTGAATTTTAAGAAATGGAAAAGTCTTTTGATGGAACTGGAAGGAGTGAAGAGTGTTGTTCTCTTCACAAGAAGAAAAGCTCCACACAAGGCTTGTATATATTTCATTCAGGAAACATTGCTAAAATTGCTTCAAAGATTAATAAAACAGGAGAGAAATCTAATTCAGAATTGTGCATAAGAATCACTACCCAGTCCTAAAAAATATACATGACCCTAATGCTGCACTGGCATTCTTGAAGAGTAAGTGCTGGAACAAAATTGAGTCAATTTATTATGAAGATTTTAAGGTGATCTGCAAGTATCAGGTCTTAAGCCATTTTGGATGGAAATATCTTTGCTGACAGAAGATGAAGCAATTTTGGGCATGTTCAGCCTATGATGATGTAGTAAATGATGTGAAGCAATGGATACAAAACATCTGTGCTCAATGCATGCACGAAGGCTGCCTGCCTAGACCTAGACACTTAACTCACCTAAGGCTGCTCCCAGTCAGTATCTGACATTCAGCTCTGTGAGGTCTGTGCTTCTTTTGTGATCTACTCTACATGGGCAGCAAGCACAGACACTCAAATAACAAATCACTGTGAAAGAAAAGGAGCAAACTTAAGCAACTGTGGAAGGGACTAGACAAAATAGGTATTGTGCTTTGGTACTGCTGGCAAAAGAAGATAATTACCTCAAAAAAAGTGAACTAGAAGTTGAGAAATCACACCAGTCCTAATTGTTTTTTCAAGAAATTCCTTTCAGACATTCAGGTTTTTTTGTTTGCTAGCCCACAACAATCTTGAGTTGCATTCCTCCCAAGTTAACTAAGCAGTCAGTGAAGACAGAGGGTAATCACCATCCTTTGTTTTACTTTGGATGTTTTTAGGCTCTCTGTCATGCACTGAGCTATCAACATTACTGCTTTTCTCAGTGTGGACAATATGACCCAAACCAGATAAAATTCTAACCGAACATGCATTGCTACCCCACTGAATGTGGACGGGTATAAGACAAAACTGGCAGCAGATCCTTCTAAAGCAGTTTTCCTTTCATTTCATAGACAATGGCCACAGCAGATCTTGCTTAGTATGAGATCCCCATTCCTCAGGGAATCCTGTTGCCAGTTTCTTTGAATGCCTCATTCCACATGTCCATACCACAGTGAGCAAGCAGCCTGAGTGAGGCCCACTGAAGGTGTGAGACATCCAGCAACATATTTGTCTTTTAAGAAAGAGATCAAATAAAATGAAAGTTGGACTGAGAGAGCATCAATGTGGGGCTTTGTAGAGTTCATGCAGGCTGAGTAAGACATGGGAAATGGACACCACTGAACACAATAAGGGACTACTTGCTCTCTCTGGACACTCATTGTTTTGTTCTCAAAATAGGCTTTAAAAAGACCACATAATTTTCTCCTATCTCTAAACAAGCAGTAAAGTAACCAATAACTTCTCCTTTTTATTCAAGAATGGGACTCCTGTTAGCCTTGTATTATCTTTTTTATTAGATGCAGAATAACATTCAGGAGAAGAGAAAGGTTTGTCAGTAAGATAATTCTATTTCTTAACTAGATTCAATGATCTTTATTCTGATTTTCTTATTTGATTTATAAGTCCTCATGCAGCAACACCTTCTGGACACGATACAAAAAGGCATTAAGGATATGCAGATGACAATGAGACTTAAGTGTGTGCTTAATTTTAAGAGCATCTTAAATTCCTTAATGCACTTGGGCTCCAGAGAATATGTTTTCATTGCCTTTAGGAATTGTGCCAGCCAAAGTGTGCAATCTGTAGACATCAGAGACCAACTTGTGCAGCCTCTTTTGCATCATGTACATAGAGAGTAAAGGCCGGCTGAGTACTAAGTGAATAGTCCACACTGAAAGCCTTGGATTCATTCTGATTTGGCGTCCAACCTATAAATCTTGGTCCAGCTCTTCTGCTGCTCCACCACCTCAGGCCATCCCCTGAGCACAGCACCTCAGCTTACAGCCTGCCCGTGCTGTGCAGGGTGACTGAATTTCCATGTGACATGAGGAAGCCAGAGTGGCTGAGGATGTTGAGATAATATTTCAAGGCCTGTCCAAGGATGAAAGCATAAAACCTGGTCATGTCCTGAAATCTGGACTCACTGTGCCCTACAGAGAGTCAGTCTCAGCCACCCCTGATTTTCCTCGGAGGAAAGTATTTGGTTCATTCTAGGTGAGACTGTGAGTAATCACTGTGTGTGCAAAGTGGGAACAAGAGGCGTCTCTGTGTAGGCTTCTGACCTATTTAAACCTAGCAGTGAAAATTTAACAAATACTCAAGTGTTTCCTTGGTCAAAACTAGTGTGTTTATTGAGAACAGAGTCCAGGGGAAGTATTTGTATACCCACCTACCAGCTGGTGGGGTTTTTCATTAATTTTGGCTGACAGTTCTCTTTTAGCATTTTTGTTTTTAATAAAAGTGATTTTAAAATGTTAGGAATCAATCAATATGATTCATACAAGATAGCTATTTCACTTTTATCTTTTGCTTCTTGCTTGGGCAAATCTTCTACCAGAGTTAGCAGGTGATTTGGGAGATTCCTATGCTAGTAACAAAGGATTGAGCCAAGGATGAAATGGCTTGGGTAGAAAACCCTTGTCTTATTCATGGATATTTCCCTTCTAATTTTTGAATATATAGTTAGTGCTATGGACAATTCTACATTCAGAGAATCAATGTAAAAAGCATACTGGTTAGAGATGCTCATAAAAGGTACAGAAATACCAATAAATTGATGAAATAAACCTTGCAGTGGCAATTTTAATTCATGGCACTATTGCTACAGGGTGATACAGATGATAAAATCATCAACTTGCGAGAAATAACTTGGCCTAAAGACATCATCCGGCAGTTTTCGTACTGGAGGAAGTAATTTCATTACTCCATTGCAAATGTAATTAATTGCCAATGTTTAGTGTCACCAATTGACTGAAAGCAACAGCCTCTGTGCAGTGAATATCTCAGAGTTTTGCTCACATGGCAGAGAGCCTCTCCCACCAGGTTAACAGCCTGAATTAGGAGTTGGTTGGCACAGGTCACTGCTGGCAGCCTCTAGCAGGAGTTCTGTGATCGCAGGTTTTACATTGCTGCTTTCAGCCAAGGAGGGCAAAGAATAGAGCTGAGACTCGTCTGACACCCTCTGTGCATTTCATGGCACACTCACAGAGGGGTTTAAGACACTCTCACTCCTGTAGAGTGTCTTACCCTGCCTGCCTATGAGAATGCAGAAGACTTTGCTGTTCCAAGAAATAAGAGAATTTTCATTTTTTTGAGGTGTGGTGCCAGTCTCTGCAAATGAATTATTGATACTTGGGGGAACTTCTCATTAACATTCTTAAGTAATTAATTAGCAGGAAAATAATTTCATCATTGCAAATTGTCAGCAAAAGCAACTGTTTGTTATTCTTTATTATGAATTAGTCCAGTGGAAAAGAGGATTTGATGAAACTTTATCCCCCTGGCTTGATATAGCCTAGTTGGATTCAGATATAGAAACATGTTTGATAGCAAAATTTGAAAGATATATGGTATACCAACACATACATATAAAGTTGGGACAAATTTCCTACAGAACCTTGAAACTATAAATAAGCACTTTAGCAGTCACCAGACATAAAATGTTCCCATCAATCCATTTCTTTATAACATCATAAGAAAAGCCAGCCTGATATATGCTGTTTGGCAAATAAATTAAATACAAAACCTGTATTTTCTTTGCCGCTTTCTAGCACACATAAGAGCTGACATTAAAAAGTTTGGAAAGTTAACTCCCTTGGTGTAATTTAATGTTTTAAAGAATCCGTGGACACACTGAAAAGAAGTGAGAAGCTTTTCCATCTATACAAAATCCTAATGTGCCAAACTGTTTCCAGTGAATGAACAACACAGTTAAGTATACTGACTTTTTATTAGGATTTACAAAATCTTCTATTAACGCACTGTAATTTTGCACTATTTTGTAAGAAAATTTAAAAAAAAGGAAAAAATAAAAAAGGAACTGGAAAAAGAAACAGAAAAAAAAAATCTAAAAATAGATGCCAAATGTATAGTTTGTAAAATACTATTTTTCTGATATAAGGTGTCATTACATTGTGAATCTAACTGTGTTATTGTAAACTGTGAAAAATGTGATGTTCTGTTGTGACACAGCCTGTGAAGGGCCATTTCTAACACAGATAATTCACCGGGACTTGTTTATATGAAACATATTCATAAATCTGAGATCACTTTTATACTTATTTTTATTAGACTATTTTTCCACATTTGCAACACAACTGTTATTTTATATCAAACATTAATTTTGCTTTAAAATATTATTTGAATAGGTGGGTGAGCGTCTTAAATGTGCCAGAGATTCAAATCTGTAACAGAGATAATTCAGAAACTATTCTTTGCCAAACTGTAATGCTACTAAAATCAATGATGTTTTGTTGAAAAATGGGCACACTGTCAATAAACATAAGTTTCTAGTCCAATAATGATGACAATGTCACATTTTCTAGGATAAATGCCCAGTAGTTATGAGCTGCATTTCCCTGCTGTCTTTGTGTATGTTGAGGAAACAAAACTGTGTGCCATAGCTGAATGTCATAGATATTCAGTCACTTAAATAATGTGCCATGGATTTTACCTCTGAGATACATTAATGAGGATTAAGAGGAAAAAACAAGCTGTTTGTCCTGATTCAAGCTCAGTTTCTGTGATGGGTCACATGGAAATGGGGTGGTTGTCGAGGCAGGACTGGGACAACCTCAGCAGGGAGAGTAAGTTCTGTGCGCAGAAACATGTGGGGACTGCATTTGTTGTGTTAGTGCAAGATCAGGACCAAAGTCCCTTTCTTTTACATTTGAACTTGCACCCATAACACTGAGTGAGATCTGATAGGAACCCTTTCTTCGTGCTCCCAGCTAATGCAATTCCTTGTACTGACAACTTTTATGTGTTTTATATAATATATATATAATGCATAAATTCATGTGTAAGAAAGAGTAACCACGGCAAATTGAATCTTAATAAAAATAATAGAAACCATTCTTACCTGCAGGCACGTTCTAAGATGCCATGTTGAAAGATATTGTAAAAAGAGTATTTTTTATTTATTAGCGATTGTATATTTTGCCCCATGATCTAGACATTTTATATCAGGGAGTCTACCAAAAACTGGTTTTTTTCTTCCCTTTGAACACTACCATCACCCTGAGATGCATCTGGAAACTGTAGAGGTCAACCAACCACTGATGTTTTGTGGTATTTTTTTAGTATGATGTTGTTGTTGAACTTTCTTCTGATTACCTATAGCTATGTTCAGAGTTTTCAACATAATTTAACTGCAGACTGAAGATACCTACTGAATGAAACTACAGGTAACCATCATTATTTCAAAGACTTTCACCATTTATGTGAAATTAATAATTCAGAACACTGATTCCAAGGTGGTTAAGAAGCAGCTCATTGACTCTTATTTATTGAGCACTGGAATTCTCCCTAAAGGATAAACACTGGATCATGTAAATAATAGTGCTCTATATAAGCCTAACAAAATATTGTAATAGGTATATTTAAAATAAAAAGAGAACATTCCAAGTGTACCATAGTCTCAGATCATTATTTTATAGGTCTGATGTCACACTTTTTCTTCTTGTGGTACTTCTCATTAAAAGTCTGATATGAAGATTGCTGCTACTCATAACCATGACCTCTGGCAGAGATCTCACAAACAGAATTTTGGTTCTTTTTAAGCTGTTGCACATGAAATTCCTGTAAATGCTCAA